ATTTGGGAGCCCTCTCTGCTGTGCGCGCGAAAAACGGACGAGGCTTGTGTTGGTCTTTGGTCCGCCATTATCCCTTGCCGGCGGCCTGAAGGCCGCTTTCTGGCCTTTATCACTTGCCCTCTGGACGCCCGTGAACTTGCCAGAGCGACGGCTTTGGGCCCGCGAGCAGACGCCGCCCCATTGGCCACCAAAAGACCGCCGGTGACTGCGCGCGGGCGGGCGGTCTGGAGGCGGCCGTCTTTGACCGTCGAACGGCGGACAAGACACCTCGGTGGTGTAGGATTATCAGAAATAGAATAACCAAAAGTAATCAGAAGAAAAGAAGAAGACTATGTATGTTCGACACCGATTGCAATCGGTGTCGAACAAACCGCTTCACCACCGCCTCAGCAGCCGTTCTCAAACGGTTGCTGACATGCAGCTCGTTCCAGAAGCGGTGGTGGAACGGTGTCCAAAACGGTTTCGGCGAAACCGGTTCCACACCTTCCTGGGTGGTTCTGGTGACGAAACCTTTGAAATCGTCACAGGAACCGGCCGAGGCCGAGGACCATTACCCCCTGGTGTACGCTTTGAAATACCTGAGATAAGCCAAGGACTTCCACCGTCCTTGTTTCGCAATAAGTTTCACCGGCGTCCCCAGATTATATCTTATCGACGCTCCTCCTACCCGGAACGAGTGCCCTGACCATCTCTCGATTCCTGATTTCCCCCAACATCCTTCTACTATCTTTATGAACCTGGGTTTTTTCATTGCTTTTAAACCGTCCGGGTTTCTTGTTGCGAACAGTAGGTCGTCCCGATCTCCGTTACCGTTTAATCTCAGGACCCTTTCTAACGCTTCGACTGGATCCAGGACGTTCTTCTGCTGTTGCAGGTGAATCACTTGGATCTCCCCTGGGGCTGCCGTCTTGGCCTTCCGCAAGTGTAGACGTGCGAACCTTTTCCCGTCCTTTTCGCCGAATTCTACGTGCTGCCTTAGGAGGGCCCCCTCTTTCTTTGATGGTCTCAACAATTCACCTAACCGCGCCATTCCCCAAAAGGCAATGAGTGCCACCGATGCTGCCAGTTCTAGTTCGTCCGATTTTCCCGTCGACTCTCGGAAAAGGTGGAAGAGTTGCCTAATCATTATCGGTTGTTTTATGGTCACGAGTTCTCGCTCCTCTTCGTTCCGCTTAGTGGCACGTAGTAACACTGACACCATCTCTTTATCCGCCGAAGGTCTCGATAAGTGTCTGACCATTTGCCATGCTCTAATGCCGTCTAAGTATTTCTTGATGGTCACCGACGAAATAACGTTTTTGGGTCCGTTAAGTTTCTCCTCTTTCGACTCGCCAGCCCACGTTATGAACTCATATATGTCTTCATCTTCAATAGGCTGTTCTTCGTCAAAACCGCCTGTGGTCTTCGTTTTAAATTCAATGAACTTTGACATGCCACTCGAGTAACCACTCAGTGTTGTGCCTGCCCATCCACTACTTGCCGCGTGTCTTCCAGCTGGTCCTGCTCGCTGCTTAGCGTTTTCGAAGTGCTTAGGTAATTTTTCCATGTTATTGGCGAAAAATTGGTGGTGTCTGACGTTTTCTCTGGGGTTTTACTCTCAGTGATCTTTTAACCACTTTATCACTCGTTTTCCACCGCTATGCTTACCATCGCTAGTGTTTTTCTCTCACTCTCACATGTCTCAGGAGGTTCTCTGTCTTTGAAACGCCGATGATCCGGGGCCTTAGGCCCCCACATTGACGTACTCTTTACTTCAATCATGATATTCTTTTCATTCTTGGACTAGAAACCTCTTCAGGTCATCAGGTAAGTCTATACGTACTTCGTCATGTCGTTTCTTAGACGAGTCTTTTCCTCTTGACAACCTATCCGCTGCATTGTCTTCTGACACTACCCTTTTTTGTTTTATGCGGCAATCCAGTCGCATCAGTTCCGCTTGGATTTTCATCCATTCCTTATTCACCAAGGGGTTCCTGGACTTTCCATTCCGAATCGCCCCTTCCGTCACAACGTTATCCGTCAACATCAAGAACTCGTAACCTCTCACATCGACTAATTTTGACAACATCAGTAGGCCTAACCGGGCCGCAACTGTCTCGGCCCAGGCGATCTCACGTCGTTCGCCGGAGTTATCTGCCTCGTTCCATCTGCTCCTCAACCAGAATCTTGCCCATCTTTTCCCGATGATAATTCCGACGCCGTACGATGTCGACGCATCTCCCACCCAAGCTACGTTTCTTACGCCTTTGTGTGGGATCAGCCTTCTTGGGTCAGCTTCCGTTAGGGTCGTCTTCCACATAAGTAAGTCTTGTTTCACCTCCTCTGGAACGTCTCTCAGTGCTGACTTGTGTACCCACTCAGCCATCCATTTGTACATCGCCATACAATAGCACCTTAGTTGCGGATAGACTAGTGTTGCGTGTGCCAATCGTCCTACGAGTTTTTCCACGTCTTTGAAACGTACCGCTTTTGATGAGTAAAACTCTTCTATTTGTTTCAAACGCTCTTCCCGCTTCTCTGGTGGAATGCTAACAGTCTTGTTTTTTCCGTCCCACAAGAAACCTAAGTATATTTGGGTGAAGTCGAATTCTCTCCATTTCTTGGTGTTCGTTACTACTCCCATTTCCCCGCTCAGATTCGCCACGTCTTGCATAGTTGCTCTATTTGAACCATCATTCTTCTTGATGAAGAGGGTGTCATCTACCCACCTGAAACCGGCCTCGAAACCGAATCTCGACATCACCACCTTTTTCCACGTGTCTGCTGCCACCCCGAATGTCCCGCATCCTGCAACTCCTCCGAAGGTCACCCTTGTGTCCAGGATGACGTTCCCCTCGAAGTCGAGCACCATCAGGAATCTCCACTGGGACATTAATGTAGGTATTTGTCTGTAGGCTTTTGCCCAGTCAAATATTCCTAACAACAATTCACCTTTTAATGACAAAAAGAACGCGGCCACTCTTTCGAAATCGTCCCAGGTTGTGACGAAATCGTCTTTTTCCACCTTGGCGTTGACTGATGAGATGTACGAGTCACGTCTAGGAAAAGAGAGATCATTAATGGGTCTCAAGGAGCCATCTCCATTTGTCACCACCCCCAGCGGACTCGTCCGGAAAAAACCTATCAACTTGTAAGTCTCGTCTTTCGAAAATGGTCCGTGCATCCGACCTGCGCGTATCTCTTCTTTCAGACTCGCCTCAATTTCTTCCTTCGCCTCTAAAGCTGACGAGTGATTTGGTGGGCAATAATACTTCATGCCGCCAATCGGCACCTCCGGGATTCCTTGGTCGAAACCTTGTCTAAAACCTTCGATGATGTGCCAACTCTCTTGCAGTATTCCGGCTAATTTCAACTCATGTATCCATCTATCGATATTCATCTCACATTTCACCCTGGAAGGCCATCTTATTCTCGTCTTCGTGTCAGTATCACTGGTGTCACTACAAATTCACGGGAGGAAGGCAGCGGTCATGGAGTCAGATGTTGAGCTTAAACCCAGTACTCTTTCGACCTCTCTATGACAGATCAACACCACGTATTTTCTGAACGGGGCAACAGTCATTGGGTCACTCTCAACAGGCAAGATCGGTCTGCATTCACTTGCTTGTTTTCATTTCATTTCAGATATCAACTTTTATGTTTAAACTGCATACTTACTAGTATCTTCCTTTCCCCTGTTTACCACCTCCAGATCGATAGCCTTGGCCTCTTTCGCGACTGCGGCTTCTGCTTCGGTCGCGCTTCTTATCATCACGCCAACTTCCGCGGTCTGCGTAACGGCCTGCTGCCTTACTCCAATCCTCTCTCCTCGCGTTCCTTGCCGCCTTTTCAGCCTTCTTCTTTGCTTCCCACACATCATCTGGGAGCCATTTCCTTTTCGGCTTACGGTCTAGGTCGTACGTATTTGCTTCTGAGGTTGAAGTCTTCTTGGCGCTGGCGGCTGTCGAAGTTGAGACTCGCGGGAGGCCTGTTTCTGGGTCTATATGATCCTTTGGACCTCCAGGGGCGTATGGGTTCGTTGTGTAAGCTCGATCTCCCATGTTGTCGCAAACCAGTTTCACCTCTTCTAAAATGCGTGATTGGATCTTCGAAATGTTGCATATCTTCTGGTCGACCGTCACTCTCATAACACCTTTTCGTATCCTCCTACAATACCTCAAGGCTACCATCCAACCTATGTTGTCACGCAGCTCCATCACTATCCCCATGTGTTCAATGAATCGTTCCGACTGCGTTATCCAGCCTGCCTCTGCCACATATCGAATGAACAGCTTCATGCTATCTAGCCATTGCTCAAACTGCATCAACAATTCTTCTGGGGGTGGTTTCCCGCCGTAAGCCTTGACGTTAGCTCCACCTTTGAGTATCTTTGCTTCTGATTGCGGTTCCTTCACCTCCCATTCTCTCTGATCGTCTAGTAACCAGCGTTTATTGAACACAGTCAGAGGAATGTACGCTTTAAAGGTTCTCATCCACACCTGTAGCACTTGCGATAAAGGAGTTAAGATTTTCTCCATCTCTTCTGAGTCATCTTTCAAGATCCGACGACCGTTCTCGATAACGTCACCATTTGCTAGGACCATTCTACCCTTCCCCGACTCCAACATAGCCTTTGCTAGCTCCGCCTCCGATTTAACTGGCTCGTTCCTACTTGCATCTCGGTCGACATTCTGGGGCGCTAGAGCTGGTGTGGGTCTTCTTGTTTGTTCTATGTAAGCGTCTCTGTTTCGGTCGACTACCTCTCCGTCATCTTCTACGAGTCGTCGCGGAGGAGGCGGTTGTGTCTGGGTTTGGGCTTGCGGCGCCGGTTGAAAGGTTGGACCTCGGCGTCCTTCCCGGTGGTGAGTGGTTTGGTGTCTTGTGTCCGATACCACCGAGCTCGACTCTGACAAGTTCTCTTCAATCAGTCGGTAGGGGCTTCTACGAATGGCTTTGTTCGCTGGTAGTACCCTCCCTGCCGGGTCGTCTCCTTGAGGTCCGTGAGCGTCAGGAGAATGTTGTCATGGGGGTTCTAGATACGGATGTTGGGTCGATGGTTGCCTCAACTCTGGTAGCTGCTGGACACGCTCCACTCGCGGTCTTCTTTCAACTGGGTCTACGCGTCGCTCGATTTGAGGCTGTCGCTCCCCTACCGGAGGTCGTCCTAGCTCCATTTGTCTTGGCTCCGCTGTGTCTAGTACCGGCAGCTGTTTAGGCCTGTTGCTTGGCCCCGGTGTAGGTCGTTCTGACGATGACCTCTCCCGCAAGAACCTGTCCGTGAAGTACGCTAGGAGTGCCGCTCCCTGCTGGAATTTTCCGTCAGAGTACAAGTCGTCAATCTCTCCTTGCATCTTGACCATCTCATCGCCGTCAGCTGTCTCGTTCCAAATTCCAATCATAAACGTAAGTATTTATCTCTTCCTAGAATCTACACACATAGGAGGAGGGTCTTCGATAGCTAACTTGTCCGCCACTTCTAATGTGACTGGCTCGTGCGGGGAAACTCATGCGACAGGTGATGCCCGCTCGGGAGAGCCACCAGAGGTTGTTTTCCAACATGGCCGCCACCTCAAGGGTGACCGATTCATATCCGAATCCGCCAGCGGTTGGTGAATCAACTTGGCTATCCTCGCCAGCGGTTGATCGACTGATCAACATGGCCATCACTGAGTGATGTCACAGCCGTTCTCGGCTCGCCAGCGGTTTTTTCAACATGGCCGTCATGAGAATGACAATGCTTTCAGACCTTCAGTCTTACTCGTCTATCCCTCGGCGTACGGAGGTTGGTCGGTAGTCATTTGTTGGTCGTGCGGACATAGAGAAGGGGTGGAAATTGGTTGTTGCATCGTGACTTGCTGACTTACCGAGCGATCCTTCCTCTTCCTCCGAATTTGCTCTGCCTTTCCCTTTCGGTTGAGCCACAGGAACATACGAGTCGTCGTCTGCGTCTGAGGCTAGCAGTTCTCCATCCAACAGCAAACCGTAATCCATCGGTTCTCCGTCTTCCACACCTTCTCCTTCCTCTCCCACATTTTCCTCCTCGATTACGTCTTCCACTAGGGTTTTCCCGCTTGGTCCTTTTGCGGCATTGCTTCTGCTCGGTGGTGGTAGAGCTGGCCCTGGGAGTATTCCTGTTGCTGCCGACGTCGCCCTAGTTAGGCGAGCAACATTTTCTTCTGCGGCTGCCAATCTTGCTGCCATTCCTTCATTCGTATTGTTCACGTTTGACATTCTTGTAACTTTAATCTTGAATACGACTTTAAACTTTGAAATTCGATTCGAACTTATTGAAGGATGGATCCAAAAGTCCTTCCTTTAATCCTTTTTAAGTAACAAATTAAAGAGTGAGATAAAGGTCACTACACTGGTTGTTCTTAAAGTCACCAACTTATGGTTGTTCTTAAGGTCACCAGCCTGAAAGTAATTATATGTAGGTCACTAGCCTTGGGTTGTTGGAAGGTCACCAACCTAAAAGAGTTCCTACTTGGGGAAAGTAGAGGATCCAGAAAGGGTGAAGGTATTACTTACTTTTAATCAAGGAACTGATTAAAGTAATGAAGTTATCACTAGTCTTATATTTATAAGACTCTTGATGTTACTTCAGTAGAACTTTAATTGTTCTTAAAAGTAGTGTGTAATAAATTGCTTGGGGGTTTTCTCTGAAGGTTGAGAGAGGAGGGGTTTATATACTCTCCTCTCTAAACCTGACTGTAGTGATATTTGTTATTATTACTACATTGGTTCAGGGTTAGTCATTAACATATAGGAATGATTGTTACTAGTGATGCTTAGTTACATATACATATTATGTGTGATATGTAATATAAGCATTTAACTCTTGACACTGAGTTATGAGGTGTAAATGGTGATTTATTACATATTACATGTTGTTTTACAGGTTCATGTATATGTAATAAAGGTTTTGGTACACTGTATTACATGTTACATACAGTTTATATTCAGTATGTAGCATGTAATTGATTTTATACATAGGGTTTTTACTGTTACAGGTTAGTTTTGGGTACATGTATATGTACTCAGGGCTGACACGGGGCTATTCTAGTGGGATGTCCAAATTTATCGAATTCAAAGAAAAGACCGACAGAGGTTTCGAAGAAGATCAACCCATAACCGACGAAGACACTTACGAATTCGTGAGCTGGGCAGGTGAATCAAAAGCTGAGAAAGTAAACGGACCGGCAAGGGTAATTTCAGCAGTAACGATAAAGAAATACTTGGACGGTGTGGTGATCTATTTATGATATCAAGCAAGAAAATTAAATCATCTTTCACTTTACCAATTTATTAGCAAACTTCAATATAGCAGAGAATTCGAAATTCAGGTTTTCAGATCAATTGAAGCTCTTAGAGGCTTATGTATACTTATTAGCTCATTATTATGTCATCTTATTTCAAAATTATTATTAAGATCAACATAGTTTACTTACAAAGTTATTACAAAAAGACAGAAAAAGAAAAGATAAGAAAAATTCAAAAATATAGGTGTAAAAGTTGGAAAATGGTTTTTAGCTTATTTATAATTAAGTTATGGGTTTTATGAGGTTAGAATATGAAATAACAACAGTTTATTATACAGTAAAAATTTTAACCTTCAAGGTTGATAAGGGAAAACAGAAGTTATTAGCAGAAAGGTACTTTTTCGAAGTTGGTAAACAAGGGTTATGCGTGTAGTTTACATATGTAATGGTGGTAGTAGTGGAAATTAAGGTTGCCAAGAGGATTTTCCGGGATTTTTAAGGTTATAGAAGATGATGTCATATTACATGAGCAAGAAAAAGAGAGTAGCAGCTGTGAAAATTGAAGAAAATAGGTGAAAATCGTCGAAAATGAAGGTTTTCAGCTAATTACATATGTCAAATGACGTCAGAATCAGTTGGTAGATAGCTCATTCAACGCAGAAGAGTGGATTACATAATGTACAACCTTTAAATCATTAGTAATGGAGGTGTATGTAAAAAGTTATAAGAGAAATAAGAAATTGGTGTGAATCTCGAATTTACAGTCACAAGTCAGCATGTAACACCAAAAACCTTAACTTCACAACTCAATATCTTACTCATCACTCATCAGAAGTAGGTCATGTAGGTGTCAGAAATGATCAGTAACACGTGGGCTACAAGATGCACTTTAGTAATCAAAAATTGGAGCACATCTGAAAAAATTTGTAATCTCAAAAATTGGGTTTCAGCTAGTTTACAAGGAAAAAATCACCTGTATTCATCTTAAGAAGTGCTGTACATCATATTATTGCGTCATTGATCACTTTTGGCTGTGAAAATTACATCATACATTAGTAACAAGATCATTACATTGCGTCATTAAATGGTTTTTAGGGTTATTTAGGCGGATTTGACTGGTTTTTGTAGCTGTTGACTGTTTTAAAAATTGTTACATGTGGATATAAGTACTCCTTGATGATTTTAGGATTGTAGGGCCCTTTTCTGCATCTTATACCTTTGTTGTAGTGTTATATATCATCATTTATTTACTATATTTGTACTAAGATCACTTAAATCCGCCCCTTCAAAGCAAGGAGAAATTTATTTACGTGTGTTCAAGACTACAAATCAAATTGGGAATAATACTTACAACAGTATTGCTAGTAATAAACATAGTGTGTGACTTTTTGCGCTTAAAATCTGGGAATAATACTACACAACAGTATTGCTTTATTTTCTCCGGTGCTTTTATCTATTTCTCTGTTATCACAAAGTGGTCAGCAAGTGCCCTTGTGCTGATTTCTTTGAAGAAGGCAGTCTTTAGGCAACTTCTACTATATTACACGTAGTAGATTATCCCTTCTTAGGTGTTGTAAAGCTCTTGTTGAGCTTTAAATACTACATATTGGTGACTCCACTGGGGCTCTTTACTTTAAACAAGCAACATCCGTCAAATATATTCAATAATTTCCCTAATTATTATCTTAAGACATTAACAATCTATTATTAAATCATCAATAATCAAATTAATAATAATACAACTCATCATTTCAAAAGAAAATTATATCCAACAAATATCAACAAAATTCAATTAATAAAATTCAATATCAACTGATAATATATCAAACAATAGTACTTAATCTTTAAAAGAAAGAATATAACTTAAAACACCACGCATATATTCACTTTTTAATTCATTATAACTTTCAAATTCATCCATATTTTGAGTTTTTTCTCTATTTTATAATATCATTTCATCACAATTAAATCAGTATTATGTCTTCAATTATTCAAATTCATGATCAAGAAGGAGCAGAAGATGGAGATTCAGAATTAGAATTACCACCAACTTCTCATTATAAAAGAACTCCACGTAGTAGTAGAACTTATGCTTTAGAGAATCCTGTTAATTATTCAACATCTTTACCCTCTGGCTCTTTACCACCACCACCAGGACCTGCTTCAGGATCAACTGTGCGTGGAAAACAACGTGAAGAATCAACTTCTGAGGATCCAATTCCACCTTCAGCATTTACTGGATTTAGAGAACAAGAAACATTATTACCCTCAGACCACGAGGAAGAACCTGATTGGCAACAACAGTTTATTAATCAACAACAACATTATTTAAGAAGAGAAAGAGAAATGGCGGATATAATTAATTTAATAAGACTTAAGGAAGAAAGTGGGAAGAAGGAAAGAGTTAAGGAAGTTATTAAGGTGGTTAAGAAGGGAAAAGGAAAGAAGATAAGTAGGAAGAAGGAGGATATCAAGGAAGAAGAAAGTGATGGAGATTCAAGCGCCTCAAGTAGCTCAAGTGATGATTCAAGTTCAACTTCAGAAGAAAGTGAAGAGGAAGAAGGAAATGAAAGGAGTAGGAGTCATGTAAAACCACGAAAAATTGATAATTCTGATACAAGTGTTAGATTTGAAGTTGGAGGAAATGTTAAGAAATTTATTATCAATTATCATAGTCAAGCTGAAGCAAATGGCGCCTCAGAATTGGATATGGTCAGGCAAATTACCAGTTTTGTTGTTGGAGAAGAACTTAAGGAGGAAATACGTGATATGGAAGGTTGGGGAGTTGGTGAATGGAGTTGGAAGAAGGTCAAAGAGCAATTAATTGCAAGATATCAGACTACCACGGAGCAGCCAAGATATTCTATTGATCATTTAAGGACTTTATCTGAAAGAACAATGAGAAATGGAGGTGTTACGTGTAAAAGTGAATATCAAACATTTAGAATTAACTTTGATAAAATTCATCAATACTTGGCTAGACATGATTACGTGGATTCAAGTGACGAAGAAGTGGCAAGATATTTCTATGAGGCTTTTTCAGATGAACTTCAAAAGAAATTTAAGAAGAGGATGATTAAGAAGAAGATGATGAAGAAAGTATCAAGTGGAAGATATAAATTACCTAACTTGGAGAAATTAAAGAAGGGGGTTGATCATTATATTGAAGAAGAGGCGCTTTTGGTATTTGAAGATCCCCCAAAAAAAAAATGTGCCCTCTAGTTTGAATTTGAAAAAAAAAAAAGTGAAGTTATTCAGAAGGATACTAGTAGTAAAGCTGCAAAGATTGGAGGAATGCAGGCTAAAGCAA